ATCATTACCAAGGTTTCATCTAAAACTGAGTCTAACGGAGGTAAAGGTTGTTTGGCATTGATTGAATGTGAATGCACTAGGATTCGCATATGACACATTGTGCGTGATGGTGTGTATAATTTGTGCCAATGCAGTTGCATCAATATGGCCTCAAAGACATGACCATAAGTACTCTTTTATGGCTTTGCTAGCCAATGGCTTATTCCCACTAAAGATATACTCTGCAATGGCTTATTCCTACCAAAGATATACTCTCCAGCTACCAAGAAATGTGACTTCATTAAAGGATGGAGAAGATACCTGACATTGTTTCACATGGATAGTTTTGTGCCAACTCTGCTCTCTCCCACTATAGCTATATATTTTAGACATTTACCATGTGGATTAGATAGATTGTCCATATCCTCCTTCAGCCATCCGATTTCAATGAACAGTCTTCCAGAGTCTAACGATGCAACCCATTGCTACTTCACCTATTTTTTACACGGAAATGTCAAAGTTGATTTTGATTTTTACACGGCGATGGGTTGAAAATAGTTCTTTAGCCAGAATCCAAATATTCCCTTTTAAACATACTTGGAAAATAAGGATCGTTGAGGAATTACCATCTACGGCCCACAGTACATCCCAACCGTGTATTGAGAACATCTCCTAGTGACAAATAATACGAAGATATTTCCAATACATATTGAGATGCGCATGTGGAGTGTCCTCTGTGGGGTTCAGATGTAAATTCATCCTTGATCTCCCTCTACATAGAATGATTAGTTTACTACTACATAGCTTGCCATATGGAAGCAGGATAAAACATAAAATGGACTATAAGGGTCCATTTTGGAACTGCCATCTCAACCATTGAATAAATGGTCATTTGGAAAATCTTTGTGAGGACCCAAGCCTGTCTTGTGTCAAATATAATTTTCTTTTCTTTTCAAACAGAGTTCATTCATAAGATTTTGATTCCATGTCATTTTTATTGTTCTTTTATCTTATTGGAACACATTTAGCACAAAAGATGCATGTCTATTTACCATGCAATGCAAAACAGGGTTTTTGAGCTAAAATCTACCATGCAGACCCAAAGTGAATGAGATGCTGAGCAAATGGCAGGACAGAGCTCCTACTGAAAACACCACTCGAGATTAATAAACCAAACCCTTCCTGCATTCTTTTCTGAATGCTGAACTGAGAACATTTTTTCCCTTTTTTTTAATAGGGCAATGAATGTACAAAACATTATGGCCCAACACATTTTGTAGAAACCAGCTCCGGAGCTTTATCTCCTTTCATTTTCTTAATTGCATCCCAAACCTCTCTCTCCAACCACTTCCAAACCCCTTCTTCCAATTTCCCTAACTCTATGTCCCCTAAACAACATTTTCTATTTGACAAGGCTTTGTACAAAATCTCATAGAAACTCCTAATTTCTTCAGCAATCTCCTATTGATTGCCAATAAGCACATCTTCCCCTTCCAATCTCATAATCACATTCCTTTTTCTTCTCCCCCTCACCATAGCTTAGCTCGGAAAAGCTTTATATTTCTGTCCCCTTGAACCCTTGTCTTCTACTTCCAAGAAATTTCCTCATAACGAATTAAATTTTCTAACTTTACTTTCAGCCTCTCCCTCTCCATCCTCCCTGCCTAAAATAAATTATCTTCCTCCTCCAATCTATCCAGCCTAACCATTCTGCCAGACCTCCATCTTTCTTTTTTCACAACATAACTGAAAATTTGAGTGCTCCATTTCTTTAAATCCTCCTTTAAAAAATTTCTATTTCTTCATTAATTTGAAGCTTGTTGGTCCAACCACATACTCTCAAATCTAAAAGGTTTAAGACTTTTTCAGCCTTACAAACTCCCTCAGCAAGATCGGTTTATGATCTGAATATGAGAAGGCAATTGTTTCTTGAATCAAGTTTTCATAAACATGATTCCCCAGTTTTATGATCATGGTAATCGGTATCTTACTTTCCAACATCTTTTTTTTTAAAAGCATTTCTATAAGTCTTTATTGGCTCTGTTATACATCACCTGTCTATAGAGTGGATGAGCAAAGTAAATTAATAATGGAACCAATATTGGAAGGTGTCAACTGGTAAAGTCGATGGATATAGTTCCCATTGACCTGGGATCTCCTTCCAAGTTAACTACATCACCATAATAATAATAATAATAATACGTATAAATGAAGTTTAAGATAAATACGATTAAAAAATACGTATAAATGAAGTTTAAGATAAATACGTATAAATGAAGTACTTGTAATTAGGAGTGTAAATGGATCGAATTCGAATCGGATCAGGTAATATCCGAATTTGAATTCGATTAAAAAATGATATCCAAATTCGATTCAATATCCGACGGATATTGAAAATTAACATCCGAATTCGAATTCAATTAAATATTCAAATATTCGATTCGAATTTGATTAATTAATTATTTTAGATAATTAATAAATATTTTATTGATATAAAGTATATAAATATATAAATTATTTATATAACTTAATTATTATATATAAATTATATAAATATTTTATATATTATATATAAGAATTAAATAATCGGTCGAATTCGGATATTTATTGAATTGAATCAGGTCATATCCGAATTCGAATCTGATTAACTATTCGAATTATCCGAATTTAATTCTATTATATCGAATATCGAATTCGAAATCGGATTTTCAAATACTGTTTACACCCCTACTTGTAGCTGCAAGTGATAAATAAAAAATCTTCTAACCCCATAACATCACAACATCAACATATATAACAAAAACAATTTGATCCTTCATTTTCTAATAATTGTTTTGTTTTCGGTTCCTCTGTTTTGTTATCATTGTTGACGGGTTTGAATTTGACGGAAATTGAGCGGAGAGACTGGTAAAGGTAAAGAAACAGGTTCGAGTGCTTTAATAAATGGGTTGAGGTGTCGGAGTTCGAGTGCAGGTGCAAAAGTCTAATAGAGCATCAAGTTGTGAGACTAGAAGGGGATATGGGGTTAAGATGCACATGTATACTATATGTATTTCAAGGTTATGGGTTGAGATATAATTTCCAAGGGGTAACCCTATGATCAAGTGATAAAACAAGATTAACAAGTTCTAAGACTAGAATAGAAGGCTTCAGTCCCACTTGCAAATGGTATTTTATTCTTCACTTTCAAATTAAAACCGGAAGGCTTCAATAATGATTTGATACTAGTGGGGACTCGTGTGATGTATGAATTTTGTTATTTTGTTAATTAATAGTGAAACAACTAAGACTTGTCAATAAATTAAAAGAATCAAAATAATGCTCCAATCAATTTGACAAAAGAAAAAAGCTATAATAAGAATGTCCAAAACTAAGCCAATTTCATAATTTATGTAAATAAACTATAATAACAATTAACAGTATTTATTAAAAATATTGTTAATTCATAAATACATTATTTTTAATAATATTGTTAATTAATAATGTTATTGAAAATACTGATAATTAATAAATACAGCAATTATTAAAATACTATAATTATTAATACCATTTTTAATAGATACTGTTAATTAATAACTATATTATTAAAAATACTGTTAATTATTAAAAATATCATTAAATATTGTAAGTATTAAAATACCATTGAACAAGTTGTTCATCTTCAACGCCTTAAACAAGTGGTTGATCTTCAAATACCATGCTTTATGATGGGTATTTTCATGATGCTTGTCATTGGTGCTATTAACCCAATAAATCTCGAATGAGCAGATTGGTAAATCCACTTTCACTGTTAACTAATCAGGGGTAAAGTGTTGAAATTTAAAAATATAGGAGGGTCTTTCTCAGAAAACACGTACAAAGAAATGAAGCATTCTCTTTTGATCCATTTTTAAAACCAAATTCTTGATATTTCCCTGGTAAGCTGTTAGGTGAGTTTCTTGAATAGGTTTTTATTCTCTAACATGCCCCTCACGCGAAAGGTCATTGCACTTGAAACGTAGATAAGCACAGGCCCACCCAATACCTTGTACTAAAATTTAATTAATTATAATGAGGGCGACAAGAATAAATCATTAGACAACTTGGTCAGATAGATTCTGATACCATCTCAGCAAACCATTCAACCTAAAAGCTTATGCTGTTAGGTGAGCATCCTGAATAAGTTTTTATTCTCTAACAATATTAACCAATGCATCCATGGATGAAAATAAGACTTAATATAATCAATAAATCCATTTAGTAAGTTCCTAATTTGTTCATATTGGGCTTTTTAGAACAAATTCTGGAATCCATATACAACTGCAAAAAATTTTCAAGGACCTTCTAAAATCCACGGCCCATAGTAGAAAAAAATATGCACTAGAAATTTTTAGAATTAGATGTGATATAAAATTTACCTAAATCCATTACTTAGTATAATGGTAAAATCAGTTTGAATCTAAGAGTGTCCATTTTGTACAAATAATAAAATAAATAAAGATGCCAAAGGTTAACATTGTATTCATTTTACCCCATTCAATGTAGAATTTATTATCTGAACAAACTAAAACTTGCTCTACATCAACTCAAGCTCTTTCTGTTGAAAATTTTCTGGATGGAAATACATGAACTTTTAATCCCCAATAATATGACTGACACAGATTTGTGGAGTAAACACATATTTATGTGAGCATATGAACAAACCTTTGATGTTTTGTTACTCAGAGGTGCCATCACTATATGCATTAAAACATAAAACCATGAAAAGACGGTACATAGTCTTTCTGGCAATTGGAGGACACCCATCAATTGGACCTCTTGATCGACAATCGACATTTGTGCATTTGCTATTTAGCTCACAGCCCCAAAGTTCAACCACATCATTCCAGCCAGTCCCTAAAACACAACTGTAAGCCCATGGGCCACGAGCCCACGGTTACATAGTTATTGTCACTGAATCCCATATCGGAAGGAAGAGAAGAATTCCACTCACCATGAACTCTATATAAGATTCTGTTGAGCTTTCTTTCGCCTTCACGCAGCCGCGCGGTGAACACAGAGCGAACTATTCTTTCGCCTTTTACTAAAGAATATCGTGTGTTCGCCGCATTCAGCGGCATACGCTTATTTTTGGAGGGTTTTTTCCGTTTTCTGGAAAACCCCAACAATTCATATGGTTTCAATGTTGTTTTAAAGGATAAATTTGATAAATTTCTTGGAATTGATAGGTAAAATGCTCTCAATTCCTCTTAAACAGGCTGCCATCGCCACCGTCACCGACGGCGGTCGCTACAAATACCGAACAGCGGAAGCCGACGACGAACGATGCTGAAGCCACCACGGACTTCCGCCGGAGGTCAGTGAGTTTCTCTGTTATTCGTTCAAAGTCGTTTCTTCCTCTGTATCTAATTGACGGAGGAAGAAGAAAATAGGAGAAATCTTCTCCTTTTTTAAAGTCACAAGTCCCAGAGGGGGACGGAGGAAGAAGAAAATAGGGAGATCGACTCCAACCGACGACGAACGGCGCTGGAACTACCACGGACTTCCGCCGGAGGTCGGTGAGTTTTTTTTCTCCTCTGTTCTTCGTTCAAGTCGTTTCTTCCTCTGTATCTAATCTCTCTCTCTCTGAAACGTCCCAGATCTACAGCACCGATCGGCTTCCGTCTATGAGTCTCTTCGTCCCGTTTGCTAAAGCCACCAGATTGATGCAGCCAGACTTTGAACAAGTGCTCCAAAGTCTTCCAAGCGTCAGTTGCATCATCTCTAACGGCTTCCTTTCCTGGACACAAAAAGTTTGCGTCCAAGTTCGGAATACCCAGAGCGATATTCTATTGGGATGAACAACTTCGCCGCGAGCATCTTCCATGTCGTGATTGATAATCGATTCATCGCAAATGTCAAATCAGACGACGAGCCCTTTACCATTCCTAATTCCCCTTGGCTCAAATTCACTGAGAACGATTTCACTCATCCCTTTGACATGGCTGAGCCCAGCGGTCCCCATTACGGATTTATCGTAGAGGAAGGCATAGCGGCTTCCGAAAGCCAGGGTATAGTGGTCAACAGCTTCTACGAGCTGGAGACAAGATTTATAGAATACTGGGATCGGGAGCACTTCTTCCTCTGTCACACCCGTGTGTAGATCTGGAACGTTTCAGAGAGAGAGATTAGATACATAGGAAGAAACGACTTTGAATGAAGAACAGAGGAGAAAAAAAGCCACCGACCTCCGGCGGAAGTCCGTGGTGGTTCCAGCGCCGTTCGTCGTCGGTTGGAGTCGACTTCCACCGGACCTCCGCTGTTCGGTATTTGCAGTGACCGCCGTCGGTGACGATGGCGATGGGAGCCTGTCTGAGAGGGATTGAATTAAGTTAAAAACAGGGATAAAAATATAATTTCGCATAGGGGTATAACGGGTATTTTATCTTTTCCATCCATATTTAACCGTTAAGGGTTAGTCAATTTTCAAACAATAAGGGTAGAGATGATTAATTAGTTAAACCGGTAGTTTAAAAAATTTACCCTTTTTTAAATCTATCCTTTAGACTTTGGGATTTCGACATCCGACTTCTCTCTACTCTACATCTCATGCATTTCAATGTATTTGTTTCAAGTGCAGGACTTCTCAATCAATCAAATGTTTCGATGTGCAATGAAAAGAAGGATTTCTAGCCAGATAAAGGGAACTTTTTGCCTTTAATATTAAAAAAAATAATACTTTTTTAAAATAATTTACATACGTGGGAGGTTAAAGTCGCTGGCGACAACTATACCCGCGAACGAAACAGTGGAAACCTGAAACAGCAGTGGACAGTCCGTGTAGTTACATAGTATCACTCCATCACTTATCAAAAACCAACAGCAGCAATGAAATTCGTCTCTGAAAAGTGAGAACTCAAAAGCAGAGATCTACGGCATGGCGGATGAGAAAACGGAAACCCGAAACAACGCCAGGCTGGCCATATTGGAGCTCGCCAACATGATCAGCGTCCCGATGTCCCTCAACGCCATCGTCTGCCTCAAGGTTCCTGACGCCATCTGGCAAGGTAGTTCCAACATCCCTCTCTCCGCCTCCGAGGTCCTAGCACATGTCCTCCCAACCGGCAATTCCGAAAACCTCCGACGCATCCTTCGAATGTTCACCAGCTATGACGTCTTCTCAGAGCACATCGCCGATGGCTTCTCGGAGCGCAAGTACTCCCTGACGGAGATTGGAAAGATCCTGGTCACCGACGGGGAGGGTCTATCTTATGCTGTTTACGTTTTGCAACACCACCAGGACACACTGGTGAAGGCATGGCCCCTCCAGCACGAGGCGGTGGTGGACCTAAAAGAGGAGCCGTTCGTGAAGGCGAACGCGTACTACGGAGACAAGCCGGAGATGAACGAACTAATGCAGAAGGCCATGTCAGGGGTATCCGTGCCGTTCGTACTGTTCATGAAGGCGATAGTGGAGCGCCGGAATGTTGGGATCATTCGCATGAATACAGAGCAGAGGAGGAAGACGAAAAAAAGTAACCTTTCTTATATTTTTTCAAAAAATTTACCCTATCTTAGTTATTATATAAAAATATTATTTTTTATTGATATTAAGGGCAAAAAGTTGCCCTTGTTTGCAAGAAACCCTAAAAGGAACGGAAAAATACGGATTCGTCCAATGTAGATTTCTGATTTACACTGCAAAACTAAAAATATTCAAAAGGATCACAACCCATATTCTATACACCAATACCTATCGTGAATTGGCATCAATTTCGACCTGACACTTACCCTGATAGTATTTTGAGCCTACAAATTTTGACCCTGGACTGATTGGTCATTCTCCCTAAAAAGAACTCTTTAGAATCCATATTTGAAGGATAATTGATAATTGAGAGAGATGGGATAATGACTCTGTTGTAGAAGGATTTGGTTTTTAATGGGTTTTGTTAGAATTTAGAACTTGAAGGAAAAATTAAATATTCTTGGAAGAGTTGCCCCTCATTGTTTTCTACAGTTAACAAAGATTAATTTCTGTTTTAGTGGGTGAGAGCCATTTTAAAAACTAAAAGAAAAAAGAACACCACTGGTCTAAGGTCATGTTTACGCAATATTCACATGCAAGAGTGGATTTGGTAGACCAAGAACGATCTTTCCATGTGACAGTTTCCAATTCAAGAGCCATGTGTAGTCTACTGGCATTCAAGTTCTGTACTTTTCTCTTAATGATTTGTCCCTTCTCAAATTTGGTTTTGGTTTGAGTTTTTAATGCAATCGACAGACTGAACAATAGCAGCTCTAGCCCACAGAACATGAATTGGCTGAGTTTTCATCGAGTTTGACAATGAGAATTCTAGCTTTTTGGTGACTTTCATTTGGTAGTTTACTTTTGTCGGTTATAAGCCTTCTATTAGATGTTATTTGGTAACTGCATATTTCCATGATTATCCTCTATAGAGATAGAACACCTTTGACTCGTTCCCTTTGTTGTCTTCCTATTCTTCTTTAATTTCAGTTCTCTAATTTTGAGTTCCAAAATTCATCTCAGGTCAGATGGTGTCATTTTTTCATTATTTTGGTTAGCTGGGCTGCAACTGTTATCTTTTGCTAGATTGTGTGAGGCTTTGGATTATTTTTGGATCTTCATGAGCATGAGCGCAACTGAAAAACAAATAGGATTTCTTTTTCTGTACAAACTAGACAAGGATTCAGTAGGATCCAATCTTAGCCAAAGCATGAGTTACCTGATAACCTTCATGTCTAAAATGAGAAACCGAGATGCTATGAAATGGAAGGGAACGCTACCTGCATTTAGAAACGTATGAAGCAATGTAACAAGGGGGAGCAGCACTAGACTCCTCCAACAAGAAATGGATAGGCTTCAATATGTCTCCTTCAAGAATAATAACAGTCAAGGTGCGTGTAAAAATGGAGCAAATTCCAAACCATCAAAACAGAGCCCAAACTTCAAGCAGTGACTGAGATGGAGGCAGCCCAAAAGATTTTCTGGCTACATAATTACCCTAATGGTTCTACAGATATAAATCCTACTCCAATTGAACGAGAAAAGACTGCCGCATCAACATTTACTTGGACCAACTGGGAGTGAAGTCCAGTAAGGACCAATAGAGAGGTTGAATTGGTGGTGTGAGGCATGATCATTTTTGGCTTCAAAAGATGATTGGAACAAGAGCAACCGACTATGAACAGACGACAGATGATTGGAACAGAATATGACCAAGTATGGATTTCCGAACCACCCCAACTTCAAACCAACTAGGTGTCATTTGGGCTTTCTGTGTACCACAAGAATATGGATGGTATTACCATAGGTCACATTTGGTTCTATGCAATCTATATTACCTTCCCGCCGTAGGTCATATTGGATTCTAACTCAGTCATTTAACCTTCCATGGATTGTAACTGGAGACTTCAATAAAGTTCTTTGGAATTTTGAAAAACAGGGAGGTCGGCTTTCTGAAAGTAAAAGCATAAGGTTGTTTAGACGAGCTGTAAATATTTGTGGGCTCCTGGACTTGGGTTGTCATGGATCATCATACACTTGGGACAATAGGTGGGAAGGTTGTGACAATTTCAGGGAATGATTCGACAGTCTTTGTCCCTAAGGATTGGAGAACCAATTTTCTTGACGCCTTGGTTATTAACGAGCTGGCTATTAGATCGAATCATAGCCTAATGGTCCTCGACACCCATCCACAGAAATGGAGTGGTCTTCGCCCTTTTCATTTCGAGGCTATGTGGGTAGATCACCCAGAGTGCAGTAGGATCATTGAGGAGACCTGGAACGAAGTTATTGCCAATAATATTTGTGCACCGAGGAAGATGATGATTAAGTTAAGAAGATGCAAGAGAAAACTCTAAAGATGGAACACCCATCATTTTGGCCACATTAGAATGCAGAGTAGAACTATCAAGCACAAGCTTTCTCATACCACCAACACCTAAAAATTGCCAAGAGCATAAGGTCCTGCACTCCAACTTATTAACAGAACTTCGAAGGGAAGAGATTCATTAGCATTAGAAGTCAAGAATCCAATGGCTCAAGGAAGGTGACCTCAATGCTAAATTCTTCCACAAGATTGTGCTACAATGGCGCAACCAAAATAAAATTTGCTGAATTAGAGATGATAATGGGGAGTGGATCACCCAGGACGTGCGCATCGCTTAGGTGACTTCTGACCATTTTCACCATTTATTAAAATCAGAGAATTCACCATCACCCTTGAACTAATTACCAAAATTAATTCTAGTTTGCCTGAGGAAACTTATGAAAGCTTGGATGCCCCTCTAGAGGATGAGGAGATCAGACAAGCCGTGTTTGAAATTAGAGATACTAAAGCACTTAGCTTAATGGCTATCCATCCCTGTTATATTAGAGGTTATGAAGCATAGTAGGCGGGGATTTAACAAAGGCTATCAAGGAGTGCTTCAACAATACGGAAGTGCCTCTGGAGATGAATAAAACGTTTATTGTGTTGATACCAAAGATCACCAACCCATGTGAGATAGGCCAGTATTGTCCTATTAGTTTAACAAACATAGCTTACAAGGTCTTCTCCAAATCTCTAGTGAACCGTCTAAAGCCATGGTTAAATGAGCTAGTAGACCAACACCAAAATGCTTTTATTAAGGACAAGTCTATTTCTAAAAATGTTGTGCTCGCGCATGAGGTTAGAGAGGAAATGACTACTACATAAAAATCAAGCTGGATATTCAGAAAGAATATGGCTTCCTAGAATGGAACTTCATATTGGCAGTCTTAGAGAGAATGGGCTTTTCGAAACATTGGAAGAAGATTATTCATAGCTACCTCTCATCTACCTAGTTCTCGCTCTTAATAAATGTTATACAATGTGGCTCTTTTCAAGCGTCTAAAGGGATCCTCTAGGGTGATTCCATATCGCCATACCTCTTTATTATTTGTTCTCAGGCCCTCTCTGCATTTACAATAGAGAAAGTTAACAGTGGAAGACTAAAATGCATGAAGCTATCTCGAACTAGCCCTACCCTATCTCCTTGTTTTTTGTTAATGAGATCTTCCTCTTTTTAAAAGTTGGTTTAACAAACTGTGGAAGCCTGAAAGATATTATTAGAGATTATAGTGAAAAGTCTAGATAAACCTCAATAAATCAAGCATATACTTTAGTGCAAATACTCTTTTCAAACTTTGTCACCTAATGTCACGCTACCTAGGTATCTTAAAGACTATAGGAGTTGGTAAGTATCTGAGCCTTCCCACTAGTGTGGGGAAACAGAAGATAGAATCATTCTACTTTCTTAAGGACAGGGTGGCAGCCAAAATGGGGGGATGGCAGTGCTCTTTCTAGCTCTCTCCTGCTGGAAGGAAAACCCTCATTAAGGCAGTTTCTTTTACTATTCAAACTTACTTGACTCATTTTAGATTTCCTAAATCTCTCTGTAGTAAGCTGGACAACCTTAATACAAACTTCTTTTGGGGCTGGAAGGATGGAAATAAAAAAACACAATGGATCTCTTGGTTAAAATTGTGCAAATCCAAGTTAAATAAGGCCTCGATTTTCGGAGAATGGACTTATTTAATCAGACTCTTTTAGCAAAACAAGCATGGAGCCTTCTCCATTATAAGTAGAGTTTGTGGAGTGCTACTTTGAAAGGTAAATACTTCTCTTCGTCCTCCATCCTTCATGCCACCCCGCGGGCAAGAGCTTCATGAGGATGGAGGAGTATGTTATTTGGTTTAGAGATTCTTAAAAAGGTATTGTTTTGGAGAGTTGGAGACAAAAGTAGTATTAACATCTGGGACGATCCATGGGTTCCATCCTTGAGTTGGGACATGTACATCTATTTAGTGAAGTTCCAAACCCAGTGATGTCATTAGTGCCAACAAGCAATGGAGTGCTACTAATTTTTCCATAGGGTCATAAGTATCATGATAATCATAGCCCTCTATCTAAATGTATTCTTTGGCTACTAAACACGCTTTGTAGCGCTCTGCTTTGATACCATCAACACAATATTTTAACTTGTACACCCACTTAGCTCCAACAAGCTTCTCCCCATAGGAAGGTCTAATACAGACAATGTTTTGTTTCTTTCAATTGCTTTGTATTTCTTTAAGCAAAGCAGTTTTCTAATTGAGATCACAAGCTTCTTTTGGGTAATAATTGGGTTCAATAGACTAAGATGAGACTAAAACAGTAGTTATGGAATATGGTAATTAGAAAACATAGTCCTTAAGGCGGGCATATGGTCTTCTAGAATGTTAAGGACGAGATGGACCAGCAATCTCAAGATGTGTGTGTCTGTGTCTGAGAGAGAGAGAGAGAGAGAGTATGAAATTGGAATCAATGCCTTGTGCTAGCATTGTTTGCCACAGGTTCAATGGGTTGATCTAAAGAAACATGAGCAAATGACTAAACCTAATGTTCAATTTGAGGGAGATTAATCACAATATTTGGGTTGTGGGACTGGTCTAAGAAAACCTTGGCATATAGAAAAATGTGTTCATAAAAGGTTACTTTTCTTGAGATGAATATCCGATGAGTTTCAAGGTTGCAAACTTGCTTATGGGCAGTGGCTGCTCCTATACGTAGCATAAGCACCCAAAGGTGTACAAATGGTTATACGTAGGAGGCCATCCAAGTAGTAGGTGCATGTGTTTCCTCTCAACTCTTCCATTCTACTGAGAATCAGCACAAGACATTTGATACATAATCCCGTTTTGTGCAATGAACAATTGAATGGAATCAAATAGAAATTTTTTACAATTATAACATTACATTTGAACTAAGTCCATTCCATTATAAAATAAAACAACAATGATAATGTTTCTGAATTAAATTTCATCAAGTATAGCCAACTACACATACTTGGTCATCTACAATCATCAAGAAATATTTTGCACCAGAATGAGAGACGGTATGATAAGGACCTCATATATCAACATTTATCAAAGTGATGGCAAAAGTTTTTCTAGATAAGCTTAATGTAATTGATGAGTAGGATCATGACTAAGCTTGTTCTGCCACATATTATAGTCGTCTCTACCTATATGCAATATGGTTGAAGCAGCTACTGACGTATCAAACTTGAAGCAATAAACTCTGCCAAGCATACATCCCTTGCCAATCATCTTAAGGAACTATTGGTTAATCTACCAGAAAAAGGAACTATTAAAGGTTCAAATAAGTAAATGGGGCTTTGAAAAGAATCATGTGGTCAAAAGCCTCACTCTCCAAAATCCAAATACTCCTTCAAAGTGGCTAATGGATCATGACTATCACTATTTAACAGCCTCAGCAACTGATTATATTGGTCTACGGTGAGAGATGCAGGTGAGACCTCCTAAGAACCAGATGATTCATCCCTAGCACAAGCTTCATGGCCTGATCTGCCATTCATAGAGTTTGAAACACTTCTCTTTGGAGTGTCCCATTCTTTTACAATATTCACACTTCGGTTTTAGGCCTAGTTGAGTTTCCATTATTTTGAGTACTAGATTTATTTGTTGTAACAAAATAGGCAGCAAAGGTATTGATCATGGTGCCTTCTAAGAAATCATGGCTTGGTCTTCTTGTATTACCATTGCATAAGCATGATTCATGATCAGGATCAGCTCTGTTGTTAGAATACTAAAATGGACATTTCTGAAAACATTACTAAAACCCATATGGTTCCTTGATGCAATAATGAAAGATCACAGTTCAGTTAATAGAGCCTAGGATTATGAATCCTTGGGAGAACCTCTCTTCAAGATCTAACCATATTGCTCTTGTAGAAGATGCATATGCTACACTTTAATGGAACTCTTGTGCAAGAGAGTTAAGAATCCATGATGTAACCATATTGTTGCACTTGACCATATCAACAAAGCAAAACATGTTTTTGGCTTCTAATGTGATCCACATCACTTTGCCATGTGGAGTAATTTTCCCCTGAGCAAAAATGAGAGTAGAATAGCATTGGGGTTATTAGAAGGATGCAGGTAAATACAGTGACACTGGATCAAGACCAAAGAAACTTGGGCTGTGTTTGGTTGAAGTGCAATTTTATTTGCACTAGTACAAATACATGGGAGTGCAAATGAAAATAATGCAAATTTTTGTTTAAGTTTGTTTTGGGTTTTACTTTATTCTACTTTGTATCTTAATTTACTTCATTTTTACTACAGTCAAACAAAATAAGCTAAAATTTGAAACAAAAATATATCAGAATTTTCACTCAAATCATTTGCCCTGCCATGGTTTTGCATCGTTGCAAATTTATTTGCATTGCAACCAAACACAGCCTTAAGGACAATGACATTGTAAAAGCTTCCATGAGAACAGAAACTTTGATGAGAATCTTGGGCTCCAAATCTCTTGAGCTCTGATACTATAACATATCTGATCTGAGTAGAGAGTTATGGTGTTTTCCTTTCAACGGGTTAAGCCCTTTTTTGTC